CTTATTGATGAGGCTCCCATCAAAAGAATCAAACCCCAAAATATTTTCATTTGCTTCAGTGTCCCGACTGAAAATTTCACTGATTTCAATGAATATATTTTTAAAAAAATCTTTTATTTTCAAGTTCTTTCATGCAAAACGTCCAAATTTGGTACAAATCAAATTCATCCCCCTCTTTTTGATAGCTACAATATTATATTTAACAGTTTTAATAGCTATCAGTATGTAAACAACATAATGTAACACCATAAAAGAAAAACATAAATGATGACATTTTAATTTTGGCATAGAGAAATACATATTTACCCCAAAAGAGAGCTTGTATTTCTACCTTCTACGTCAGAGTCAATAACTGAAATGTCCAGATCAGAACTGAGAAGAAAAGAACCATAATTAGTTTAATTAAGATACAATAACACACCGACCAAGTATTAATTTGAGAGTCAAGCAACAAAAATCAGCATCATATTTTGAAATATTCACTATTTGAAAATATAACGCTGATTTTGGTTGCTTGACTTCTAAATTAATACATAATTAGTTAACCATAATTAAGTAACTGTAATATCATGCACAGCTAATATCTATTTTAAAAATAAACCAACTTACCTCAGGAAAGCCTGGTTTGTCTTAGGAACATTAGCTGTAACTTCTGGCGTAGAAAAGTCAAATTTTTCACTTCCGGACCTAAGAATGAAAGAAATAAACTGCTATAACATAATTAAAAAAAAAAAAAAAAAAAAAAAAAACATGAATAAATAAATAACACATAACAAATTTAAGCATTAAGCTATGTATGACTACCACCCATCTCAGACAGTGCGACAGATATTGCTGTATACTGTTTCGCCATACCCTGTGTAGCTATTATATCATGCTGTATAACCACAGTTTAGAAAAATTACAAAATGTGTTATTTATATCTATCTAAAATGGTACATTACTACATGATTTGTAAGAATAAATTAGAGGGCTCTGCGAATGAAATTCCTTCCAATTAAAAAATGTAGGAATAAAGAAAATGCAGGAATTGCAAATGCAGAAATGAAAAAGGGGATTATATTTTTTGTACAGAATCCAGATGACATATTTTTCAACATTTTAGAAATTTCAATATTAATTTTAGGGGCATAAAATATTAGGCCCCTAAAAGCAGAATATAGTTTTTAAATGTTCAGATAATCTTCCTATGAGAAGAATTCCTTTGAGAAGTACACATCTGAACCACAATTAAAAAACATGTACAAGAACAGAGCTGAGGACTTCTGTTTGCAGAAAGTCTGTCACATAACATATGAAAAGTTTCTTATTGGTAGATTTTTGATCAGACAGATATTTTATTGTTATACAGAGAAAGCATTCACTCCCTTTATACTGGAGATAATTCAATTTGGACAATGGCAAAAAGGCTAAGCAAGCCTGAGCGTATTGGTCCCATTCTTGGCACTAGTTTGGTTTACGCTCAAAATACACAGCAGATATTTTCTAATTACCTGCATCCCAATATCAATTCAATTCAGCTTTTGGTGGAATTTAACCATTTGTGACATATTTTTCAAAAACTACACTTCACAACATGCATACATGACAAATACACAGAACCATAAATAAACAAGCAATAATATATATTTATATATAAATTTTACTAAATGATCATAAAATGTTCCAACGCTAAAAGAAAGTTTTAACATCCAAGTAAATGACATAATAAAAAAAAGCAAGTTGAACAGCGAGCACATGAATAAATGTGCATACACCTGTTAAAATATACCATAGGTAACTGACAAAGCATTTCGTAGCAAACATATGACTATAAAATTTCCAATAATACATGTAATGATGGTGAATTCAATTTAGATCGCAAGAACATGCTCATACTTTTGAAAAGATTCAATTATTTCAGCAATTCCTTGTGAATTGGAATTTACCCTTTCAATATTTCCCAACAATTTAGTGTGAATGGAGGAATAAATTATTATAACAGAATTGAACAATTATTAGCATCCCCTCATACACACACATACAAAAAAAAAAAAAAAAAAAAAAAAAACTTACTTTGTAAAAAAAATCATCCGGGCAATGATTCTCCTTTGACACAGATGCAGTTGTATCAATAATTTCTGACCTTCAATAAAAAAAATACGCATATTTTACTTCGGAATTAACTTACTACGAAATCATAAACACGGGGTAGTCGATATAAAGAATAAAATTATTTCTCACCTTTCGAAAACATCCGCTTGTTCGGAATCTTCCACATCTCGGGAATTTAATTTCATATTTTTTTCTTGAGCTCGACGTTTACGCTGAATTCTGGATCTTTTATTAAAACCAGGATGTTTTTTCGGTCGTCCTTGATATTTTCGCATATTTTTTGCAAACTGACCACAGTACAAATAAATGTAAACAAAACGAGTGCGGAATAGCAATGCAATAGGGTTGCCGTAAACGTCATTCTGCTGACAGCTGACAATGTTTAGTGAAAACTGTGTATAAAGGAATATATGAAACGCTTCTAAATATTATTTAGAAAAAAATATGATTTATAACTGATATCAAAATCAATTACTTCGTGAATTTTTGCAGAAATAAGATTACAATGTTAAATTTTAACTCGTAGCGCCATCTATTGATGGCTTTCCAAACTACACATTAAAATTACGTATTTCAAACTAATTTTTTTAAAATATAATATTTAAGTAAATTTCATTTCAAACCTGATTCTAACATTGTGATTCGAAAACTGACCTATTGCTTTATATTTCTGCCAAATTGCACGCAACATAGTTTCTTAATTAGCGATTCTGCGTGTAAAAAAATTTTTAGTATTGTAATGCTGCTGCTGTAGTAGACCACCTTAATACATCTGACTTTTAAGCATGTCATTAAATTTTTGATTTTTAGAGATTTTCAGACATCCATGATAGGATGCAGGATGTGGACTTAAAACAGTTTGATCACTTAGGTGGATCTTTATGTGTGCAAGTTTAACATACATTAATTTAACAAATGAAGTTTCAGAAGTGATTACTTTTGCACCATTTTTAATACAGTATGTACTTTTATTAGCAGAGTTTCTATAGCCAGTAATGAGCTAAAGCAGGTTTGCACTACCCCTTTGCCAAATTTGTCTCTAAATTACGAGTCCCTTTTTGTTTACTTAATTAAGCCCTTTCGGGTACGCTACCTTTTAAAGTTGGAATTTCGATGAAAACAAAGGTAGGCAGTCTAATTAGGTCTAAAGGAGTACACAAGTAAAATTTTGTGAAGATAGCACTTATCTTTTTAATTTTTTCAGACACACTGAATGAATAAGACCTTCGAAAAGAGTGCTGAAACGAGCATTGCTTAAGAAAAGAGTGCTGAAACCCTTAAGGAAAATTTTATCCTTAACCTTTTATGAAGACATTCCTGAAAACTACTCTCTCTTATTTTTCAGTTCAGAGGGCATTAGCCCACAAGGCCTATTAATTTCATTTTGGCATCTTGTGTTGAAATTTTTAAGTGTTGGTTCACTTTTCAAACAGTTGCCACCAAATATTACAGCCCTTTATTATATTTAAAGAAATTAAATAATGAAGAATCTGCATAAATGCATGTATGTTTCTCACATCGTGATAAAAAACAACGGTACGTAAAACCATCCAATTTTGAATAATGTATGTTTAGACCTGAATATGGGCATTTCGAAGCCCAAATTTCGAATTTGTTTAATTATCGATTTCATATTTCAGAAAACTTTAATGCATTTTTGATCAACAAACTCGATTATTTCAAAACAAGCAATTGCAACGCTGTAGACGAAAAAAAAAAATTATCCCCAGGCGTGCAAGACTGTGTGTCGGAAATTCTAAAGATATGCTCATTTTAAAAATTACTTTGTGATATTGCTGTTGAATAGAATTTTATGGTTTAAGTGATGATATTTAACAAATAAAGGTAACCCACAAAATGTTAGATAAACGTTCCAGAGGCCGTAATGAAAAATCTGAAAGCATTCAGATTTTATTTAAATTTTTTTGGAAGTTTTAAAATGTCCCTTTTGCTAAAATTTTCATAGCTCACCACTGATTATACCGAAATATTTATTTGTGTGCAAAACCTCGGACTGTGTCAAATTGAAAAGAATCAGCCTAAATAGTATACCATTAACAATAAAGTACTGCTAAAAGAAATTTGCTGTAGCTGCATCAATCAGTTTTTAGCTAGCAAAGAATAAATGGGTAAAAGTATATTTACGGTTACCCCTTGGCGGCACATGGATACAGAGTTCATGCAATTCGACTTGTTATTTTGTCTTTGTAATGTAGTGATTTTAGATCGCAAAATCGGCGCTACACAAAGACAAAATAACAAGTCAAAGAATTGCGCACTCACTTTATCGATGTAGACGCTGACCTACTTTCACTTAAAAAAAAATCAGAGAATTACACAAACTTGGCATTGTACATGTACACATCAATATATTTTTACTTAAAAAGTCAAAGGAGCACCCAATTATAGATAATGCTAGAAAACAGAAATTCAATGAAGTGATTATAGATGTAGTGATAATAATGTGAAAGTAAAAGGACCATTTAGTATGTAAATGAATAAATTATGAATTGATCATTAAATAAACTACTTTTACATAATTTGGTAAAACTGGAGATTGCGACCAGTCTCCGAATTAATTTTTCTATATCATTTATAGATTACTAATCGTGGATTTAATGAGTATATTGTTACACTTTTTATCTTCTGTCTGTGAATTTTCTTGCTTTATATTATCACTGTCGCAAGATTTTGAATTGTTACACTTTTTATCTTCTGTCTGTGAATTTTCTTGCTTTATATTACCAGTGTCACAAGATTTCGAATTGTTACACTTTTTATCTTCTGTCTTTGCATTTTCTTGCTTTATATTATCAGCGTCACAAGATTTCGAATCTTGGCTCTCATGAGAACGTTCTTTCTCATCAGCTGAGCGCTTCCTTAGCATATGGACAAGACAATGTTCCTTAAGGGCTACTTTTTTTGTTAAATCGTTTATCACATATTTCACACTGAAATGGCCTCTCTCCAGTGTGTATCAGCTGATGCTGTGCTAGACCACTTTTTGAACCAAAACATTTTCCACAAAATTCACAGAGAAATGGTTTTTCACCGGAGCAGTATCGCAAATGATTTCTCATTTTAGATTTCATATTAAATGTTTTATCACACTTTTTACATGGATATATTTCTTCTTTATTAGGAATTTTAACTTCAGAAGGTTGTTCTTTTTTCGCTTCATCCGAATCTTCTGTTTTCCCATGAAGAAGAGCATGAGTTTTAAGAGAGCTATTTTTGTTAAATCTTTTATTACACACCTCACACTGAAATGGTTTTTCACCTGTGTGGATTAAATAATGCTGAGTAAGTCTGCTTCTCTCAACAAAACCTTTTCCACATATTTCACATACATGTTGTTTTTCCAGCGAAATGCCAACGATAATGCCTGAGCATAGTACTCTTTTGCTTGAACGTTTTGCCACAAACGCCACAAATATAAACTTCGAGCACATACAGGTTAACCGTCGTTAAGCCTGCCATGTTACTGTATACAGTGGTCACGGCCAAACTAAGGCTCTCCCGCACCCTAACCAATTCTTTGCTCTAACTGCTGCTCGCGAGTCACTTTCTGCCTGTTCAAGACTTGCAAGAAATACCCTTTCTTTCTCCTAATAAACTTAAAGTAAAATAACTTTATTCTAGTATTCTTTTAACTATTATTTATAACAGGTTTCCTTTTATTCTAACCTCCCTGTTCCAAAGCGTCATATTTATTTTCACAATTTGTAGAACTACAACAGTAGACAGATGTCTTTTGTTGCACCCGCTAAGTCTTTCTGCATCGATGGGCGAAAAATCAAGCATAGGTGCGAAGGAAAGGTATATAGAAAGGGGGCAATTTCGTATTTCGGAGGAGAGTAAAAAGGAACTTCGTAGAAATACAACAAACATCAGGTGGTTGCCACGATTACAGTGACAAACTATGAGAAGAATGATAACAACTGAGGCTGGGTTCTAACAATACTCCCACCTTTTGATTGATAACATGTACTTAATCAATCAAAACAAAATATAAAAAAATACCGTTTACACAAATATTAAAGCTAAATAGTAAACAAAAGAAAAAATTAAGTTCTTAAATCTCTACTCTAAAATAACTCAAGTAATGTTCAGGTTAAAAATCTTGATGGAATTTTAATTTTGTCGCCCTCTTCTAGTCACAACAACGTCCTTTGATAAATCTGCAGCTGAATTATTCTTTGGTAATTTTGAGACTAAACTGTCTTCACCCTGCATCTCAGTATCATTTGCCGCATCTGACTCATAAGATGAAGGTATTTCGAGAGAGAATATTCTCTGGATTGGTCGAACTACACGGGTGTGCAAAAATTAAGAAACGAGACGGTTTTTTCAATATAACTTTGTACAAAAGCTTTCCAAAATCAACACATTTAATACCGTAAGATCCCCAATACGTAAGGACATGAGTAATGTAAGCAACACTTACTAAAAGAGAAATCAGAGGGATAAAAAGAAGCTTTATTGAAAAAGTAGCATGGAGCGCAATGCGACTGAAGGCCGAAACATTCTTGTGATGGGTGTCCAGCAAGAAACATTCGGTCTTTAATAGGGGATATGATCTCCCCTGACTGCTAGGCAGGTTTCACAGATACGTTCAATATCCTCACTCTCTAAGAGCTGTTCAGCAGCTACTGTGCGAAGACATGGTGCATTGTCGTCCATGAAAAGGAACTGTGGACCCATAGCGACTCTAAAAAGACGCACATATGGAAGAAGAATCTCGTTACAATAACGGGTCCCGTTGACTGAACCTTCTCGAAGATGTGAAGGTCTCTACCACTACCAAGCATGATGCCTCACCAAACGAGAACACCGCCGCCTCCATACCTGTCCCTTTCAATGATGTTCGAGGGATGATTGCGGCTTCCCCGCTCTCTCCAGATGAGTATGCGATGAGAATCGCTAGTCAGACTGAATCTGCTCTCATCTGTAAAGAGTAATCGTCCCCATTCATTGTCTCTCCAATTCCGGTGTTCCCGGCACCATAGAGAACGCCTTCTCCGATGGGCAGGCGTTATAGGTACACACCGTACAGGACGTCGTGCAAACAGACCACCACCGTGCAGTCTTCTGGCCACGGTAAAACGCGATATCGGTCGTCCAGTCGCCTGTGTCGTGTGTCTAACGATTTCTCCCGCCTGTTTCTTCTGGCCTGTAAGGCAATATACCGGTCATCTGCGAGTGTGGTTCCTCGTGGAAGACTACTACTAAACCCCCGGATAGCGCTTCCTGTAGTTTGAAATTGTCTCCAAAGTGGTGAAACGATGCTGTGAGCAATTCCGAACTCTGCAGCCACACTTGTCACACTGCGGCCTTCCTCCAACTTCCCAATGATTCGATCTCGGATAAAAGCATCCAGATGTCGTCTAACAGATTGATTATTCGCCATTTCTCGCTGAGGCAGCAACTCGGTGTGAGATTTTAACTGCTATACGGCGTGCAATCTCTTTGCCAGAAATATTGATCTTATACCGACAACAGGCTTTATACTATATAGTGTTACGGGAAGACACTCCCCCATTATGACTACCTGCGCGCATGTGCTACCGTACATCACCTTACTTAATCTCCTGATTGGTCTTTCTGTCCGCTGTGCCTCTTCGTTCAGCTGATATGCTAATTTTTCGACTTCGTCCTTAATTTTTGCACACCAGTGTAATTCTTCAGACATGGTATTGATACGAACTACTCGAATATTGCCGTCTTTTCCTGGATATAGTTCAATCACTTTTGCTAGAGGCCAGAACACCTTGCGTTTGTTATGACATTCAATAAGAACTATGTCCCCGATTTTTACCTGTTGAGAAATCGGTACTGTAGATGGACGTAGCACTAGCAGGCCGAGATATTCATTTCCTAAATCTCTTTCACAAGAGCTCTCGTAAATTCTGTAAATGTCTCAGTTTCTTGTGGAAATCAACTTTATGAAGAAGATCCAAGTCAGGACCTTCAAAGACTGGAATTTCACCTAAAACCAAGGACTGTGTCAAAGGGATGAGTTCATCTGAGTCCTCTGACACATAAGTGAGTGGTTTGTCATTCACAGTTGCTTCGCGGTCGCACAGCACACTCATCAATTCTTCATAATTCAGACATGACTAGCCTAGGACTCGACGCAAAAGCTTCTTAGTCATTTGAACAAGTCGTTCCCAAAAGCAACCTCACCTTGGTGCTGCGGATGGATTGAACTTCCAATCGATGTTGTTTGGGGCGGCTTCTATCTCAGTGGTATTCCAATTAATCGATTTCAAAAGATTATTGGATCCGATAAAATTGCTTTCCGTAACACTATATATTATCGATGGCCTCCCTCTTCGGGCAATAAATCTCCTAAGACCATGTAAAAATCCTTGAGTTGAAAGGGACAAAATCATTTCCAAATCGACCGATCTGAAAACAGCACATGTGAAAAGTAAAATCCAAGCTTTTCTTTTATCCTTCAAAATTAATAAGCCAACTAAATCAACGCCGACAATCTCGAAACCACGAGCATCACTAACTCTGTTTTCTGGTAGAGTAGCAGGCACAGTCTGTAGTCGTTTACTTCGATGACTCCTGCACCTGACACAGGCATATAAAGCTTTTTGAATTGTAGCTCTGCTTTTCAGGATCCAAAACGTCTCTCCAAATTTTGACATCAGTACGTGAATTCCTGCATGAGACATAGATTTTCATCACTTATTAATTTCTCCACATTATGATTCTTCGGAAGTAACATCGGGTAAATCAAATTTTCATGGTCTTTCGTTTCAGTCAACCTAGACCTGACGCGAAAAATGCCTTCGTCATCTTTGAACACACTTATTGACTTCAGCTTCTTAATATCATCAGATGAAAAAGAATCATGTTGAATAATCTTCACGATAGATTTCTCAGCCCTTGCCAATTCATAAACCTTAAATTCTCCTGCTTCTCTTTCTTCTTTCGGGTATTTCCTATGAATCTGTGTATTCACTCAATCATTCTAAGTATTTTCTTATACTTTGAAAAATAGCCAAAGAATTGTGAAGACATATCGCTAACACTGCTTAACGAAACCATAACTGCTTTACGTTTTTCAGTATAAAACTCTTCTTTATTATCGATTGAGATAGACCGAGGCCATTCTTCTTCCGGTAGTGGCAACCAAGGTGGGCATTCCCACCATCTTGATTCAATGAGTTTCTTCACAGAACATCCTGTTGATGGCATATTGGCATATATCCAGGGTGCTGAACTGATTTTTCATTGATACATACTTCAAAATTTTGGTTTGTGGTCTTCTCTTAGCAGTGTATGTTGATTTAATAAAACCACATATCTCATTATCAGAGTTATTATCATTTGTTTGAGAACTGATATTAGAATTTTTTCTTTTTCTTATTTTTAAGTTTTGAAGGTTAGTGATAGAACTGCTTACCTTAGAATTACAAAGCTCAAATTTACCTTCAGTTAGTCGAATCAATCCTCATCCGCTTGTCTCTGGGTCAGAGGCTAAACGGATCCTGTCCTTGAGTTTACTAATTTTGTTGCTCACATTCAGCAATTTTTTTAGAGATATTTGAGCAATAACTTAGAAGTCTCTTTTATGACTGGTTAATTCATTAACAGTATCCATCCAGTTATCAGTACTTTTAAGAACAGCATTATGCCTGACTTCTGTTTATATAACTAGATCATGGTATTCAGAGATTAAATTGCAAAGGAACTTAGCTCCGGTACTTCTTAGTTTTAAGGATAAAGCATAATTCTACCCGGAGTGCACTGGAGTCCTAAATAAGAAAACTTTGACTTTTTATGTAATTGAACAAAATTTCACTAAAAATTTGATCTGGAAAATTTTATTTTTAGTAATTAAATTATATTAAAAATTGCTTATTAAATTTTAACTTAAACTATTTCATTACTTTAAGCACTAATTATTGAATTACTTTAATAATTATTATTAAGGTTTTTAAATTATTAATAATTTTGTTAGTCATTTTACTTATTTATTTATTTTTGTTCCTCTTTCATGACGGTCTTCCATAGTGCTCCGGTACATCTAATTTTAGAAATTAAGTGCATCATCAGATGCAATAGAACTCTCTGAACACGTAATTCTGAGCATTTCCAACGATGAAGGCTGAAGGCAGAAAGGGGGTTAGTATTTGAAATACTGAGTTGAGATGTCTGTTGTTATGTTGACATGTCTGTGGAGGTTGCTGCTCAACTAAGATAAACTTTTTGTACTTTTTCAAAATGTGTGCATTAGGCAATACGATTAAAAATTTAATTTCATGAATAACAAATCCAATATAAAGTTAAATTAAAGAATAAATTTCATTCTAAACAAGTTGATTTTATTTTAAAAAATACTATACGGAAGTTAAACTGCGTTTACGGAATTAAATTTCATACAATACCCTTTAGCATATATCTTTTAATGTCAAAAAATGCAAGTTCTAATTTA